TTACCCCATTCTACCTCTCCCTTACCCCTTCTCCCAGTTCATTCCTCTTTCTTACCCCTTAATTTTATTTTTTTACATATAATTCCATCATAGTCAACTCACACCCATGCCCTCTATGAATAAACTGCTCTGATAATGAAAAATTCTTAGGAGTTAGTTGCATGTATCATTCCCTTGTAGGAATATAAAGAGTTGAAACTTATTAAATATCTTATGATTTTCCCTTTCCTGTTTACCTCTTCCATGCTTCTCTTGAGTCTTGTATTTGAAAGTCAAATTTTCTATTCAGCTCTGGTTTTTTCATCAGGAATGTTTGAAAATCTTCTATTTCATTAAATATCCATTTTTTCACCTGGAGGATTATGTTCAGTTTTGCTTGGTAGGTGATTTTTGGTTGTAATCCTAGCTCCTTTGCCCTCTGGAATGTCATATTCTATACCCTCAGATCCTTTAATGTAGAAGCTACTAAATCTTGTATTATCCTGACTGAGGCTCCATGATATTTGAATTGTTTCTCTCTGGCTGCTTGTAATAGTTTCTCCTTCACCTGGAAGCTCTGGAATTTGACTCTAATATTTATGAGAGTTTTCATTTTGGGATCTCTTTCAGAAGGTAGATTGTTCAATTCTTTCAATTTCTATTTCACCCTATGGTTCTAGAATATCAGGGCAGTTTTCCTAGATAATTTCTTGAAAGATGATGTCTAGGCTTTTTTTTTATCTTGGCTTTCAGGTAGTCTAATAAGTCTTAAATGATCTCTCCTTGATCTATTTTCCAGGTCAGTTGTTTTTCCAATGAGATATTTCTATTTTTTCATTCTTTTGGTTTGTTTTATTGTTTCTTGATGTCTCATGAGGTTATTAGCTTCCATTGACCCAATTCTAATTAAGGAATTATTTTCTTCGGTAAGCTTTTGTACCTCCTTTTCCATTTGGACAATTCTACTTTCTAAGTAGTTCTTCTCTTTAGTAGATTTTTGTGCCTCTTTTACCATTTGGCCTATTCTGTTTTTTAAGGTGTTATTTTCCTCAGTATTTATACATTTTTGTGCCTCTTTTACTAAGTTGTTGATGCTTTTTTTCCTGATTTTCTTGCATTGCTGTCATTTCTTTTCCCAATTTTTCCTCTACCTCTCTTATTTGATTTTTAAAATCCTTTGTGAGCTCTTCCAGGAATTCTTTTTTGAGTCTGAGACCAATTCACATTTTTCTTTGAGGCTTTTGCCTTCTTCTGAATTTGTGTTTTCTTCTGAATTTGTGTTTTGATCTTCCCTGTCACCATGGTAACTTTCTGTGGTCAGGTTGTTTTTGTTGTTGTTGTTTTTGCTCTTTTTCCAGCCTATTTCTTGACTTTTAACTTTATGTTATAGGTGTGTTTATTGCTCTGGTCTGTGAGTAACCAAAAACACTCTTTTCCACCCTGGAACTGTGACCAGGGTCCCCATTCCCCTGTGGCTTTAAGCTCAGTGTGCTAGTGCCCCCTCCTTACCCCAGGACTGTGACTCACATCCAAATATGGGCAATGCAAAAGAGCCCTGCACCCAGTGCCAGTAAAGGGATCCCTGCAATCTCCTTCTGAGCTAGTTGTCCAATCCCCTTATCATCTGTGGGCTGAGAGCTATGGAAGCCACTGCTGCCATTTCAGTTGTCCCCAAGGCCTGATGCTGGCTTGCACTGGGCATGGCTGCTACTGATTGACTGGTATAGAGGTCCAGGGCCTCACTGCTAGCTTGTTCAGGCATGGACTGTGCTGGGCTGTACTCCACTCTCATTCCAATGCAACAGATATTTCTTTCTAAGTTATCTTGAACTGGGAATTTGTTTCACCCCCTCCTTTTGTGAGTTCTGCTGCTCTAGAATTCATTTTGAGGTGTTATTTTAAAGTTATTTGAAAGAGAATTTGGAAAAGTTCAGGTGAGTGTTTGCTTTTTCTCTGCCATCTTGCTAACTTAAATTTGCATTATTAACATTTTCTCCATCACTTTCTTAAGTCCAGATAATCAACAAAACAATAAATCAATCTCTGATTTATAGTTTGCCTATTTCTAAGGTGTAAATGTTCACAATGAAAATTTGACAATTGACTCTCTTGGTTCAAGCTGGCTCTGGCACACATACCTAATTATATATACCCCAAAGTTTCCCACCCTCTTAACTTTGTTCATGCTCTTCTTCATGCCTGAAAAACTCTTCCCACTCCCATCCTTACCTATTTAATTCCTACCTTTAAAGCCTAATCCAAATGTTACCTTCTTCAGGAATCCTTCTCTGATTACCCAATTTACTAATGACTTTTCTTTGTGTATCTCTAATGGAACTTTGTACCCCTCTTGTACACTCATCATGAATTATACTTTATGATACTTCATAGCACAAGTTATGTCTATTGGACTTTAACCTTGACATCAGGGGCTATGTCCTGTCCAGATCTTGTATCTCCTCGTCTGTCTAGCACTACTGTGCTTTGTATAAATCAGAATTATTGTTTATCTGCCATCTCCTCCAAGCTGTAACTCTAACATCCATATGGACTCACTGACCAATAGTAACAATAGACTAAAAAATGTGTATAGGGATAATGAGTGTCTGTATAGGTTGTTTGAATAAATTAGCACTCATGAAACATCTTATTATAAACTTGATTTCTGCTAGCTAATAAATCTTTGAAAACTGAAATTCTGTGCCCACTCATTGTGTATTCTAACCTTTGCCTTCCCTGCTCTCAAATATCTACCTAGCATAACATAGTGATCAATGTCTTGCATGTAGTAATGAGTCAGAATATTTGTTGAATTGATTAGATTAAATTGATCTTAGCAGCCCTCATTTTGACAACTGTAGCCAAGTGCTTAAAACTAACCAGAGTTCTAAAAGATTACGACATTTGGTAATACTTAAAATATTTATTAGTATGAATCAGTGTATGTTAAAAACAAAATAACAAATACAGTTTTGTTGCTATTGTTGTTGGAATCTGATGATTTTTATGAGGAGAGATTGGGAATGCACTACTGTTTAATGAAAGGGAGAAAAGTCTTGACATTGTAAAAGCATCCCCCTATGCAGGAACTGGGTCCAGCCCAGTCAAAGCTCTTTGCAAAAACACAAGAGAGAAAGCAATATGCATGGCAAAACATAATGCTGACATTGGAACACTAGGTCTGGTTTAAAAGATGTTAAAAGAGTAAACATATATCACTGATATACTTCATATCTGCATACGTGTCAGAGCTTTCTAGCCTATTACTCTACTTGCCTTACTCTTTTAGTAGCAATGTAAAATGGGGAACCTACCAATAAGTGCTTGTCTTCAGCTATCACACGTTATAGTGCTACGTCTAAAGAAAGAATTTCACCTTCATATCCCCAGCACTTAGCACAATCCCAGGCACATAATAGGCACTTAATAAATGTTAGTTGATTAACACTTGTGCATATCCCTTATAAGGAATGAGATTAATTCTCTTTGGGGCACAACTTCAATACCCCTGACTGTGAGAGAATGGCTAATTTGGGGCCCTCAAAATCTTGCAGCCTGGATGGAAAATGCATATTTAGTATCATTAATGTGCTATTTTAAAGTTTAAAAAATGGCAAGTCAGCAAGGTATCTATACATCAGCCTCTTGCATGTTGCTACTTTCTATCTTTGGCCTTTCTGTTCTTAAATGTGAAATGGGCACTATAAAAATTCATATTTACAATATACAACAGATCTGCAAGCCAGACTCAGCCAATGAAAGGTATAACATGTTACCTTAAGAAATGTAAAATCATATTTATATATGTATATATGTACACACAAAGAGATAAAGACGGGGCAGAGAGAGAAAAGTGGAAAAAGGGAAGGAAGGAGAGAGGGAAGGAGGGAAGGAAGAAGGGAAAGAAAGAGGGAGAAAGGAAAGAAATGAAGGGAGGGAGAAAGAAAAGTTTGGGGAATGATTAAAATGGTGTTATGTCACCTCTAATGCTCTGGCTAGAGTTTGGAGGCACATTGTTCTATAAGGTCACCTTGTAATATACTATTCATGTGTTAACTCAGGCTACCCTGATATTTTTTAATGGCTCTCATGAAAAATCCTGACTCTTCGAAAGGGTCTAGGTACTTTCCTGAGAAGGCTCAATAGACATGTAAATGTGTTTGCTCAGCCATGCTCAATCAGCTCCTTCCTGATTCTTTAAGTGATGATTAAGGCTTTTCTCCCCCCAAAACTGCTTCTGATAGAAAGAAACAGTATCAGAGAGGTAAAAACAATCACTTTAAAAACCTATTCCCTTCTGAAAAGAGCCCTGATTCCTTTAATTGGAGGGGGGGTGGAATATTCATGCTCTGTCATCAGAATTAGCCTCCTTTATGTTAGAATTTGTCCAGTGTAATTCCCTAGCTATGTGACAGACACATGGATATGATTCCTTGCTTTCTCTGCTCTATTCCCTGCTTAGTTCAGATACTAACTCAGTTTCTGTGTTGAAAGAGGAAAGGCTCAACAAAGATCTGCTTGTCACCCAGAAAGAACTGACTTCAGTTTCTAATATCAAACTATTTACTTCCAGAAGGATGTGCAGATCTATGTCAGGCCTACAAGCAAATTCAGTGCCGACTATGGACAATGTAGGAAATCCCATAAAGTCTTTTCTCAGACAGCTAGAATCCCTCTTTATTATTTATGATGGACCTGCTTCTATCTGAAATAACTGAGATTCAATTCTGTACCAAAACAGGTAGAACGGATAGAGTTCTTTCCAGCTACTAAGATTCAAGAACCAATAAATCAGCTCTACCAATTCTAGAAATGCAATTAGAGAATCAAACTGGCTGTGTTCATGGTAAACAAAAACAAAAACAAAAAATCTTTTTATTTGTAATCTTTTGTAATCCGTCATTTGTAATCTTTGTAATCTTTTTGTAATTTATAATCTTTTGCATTTTGTTATCTTTTCTATATGTAAAATTTTTTTTTAATTTCAAAAGATCTTTATCATCAGCCTGGCTTCATGTAACCCTTGATTGTCATTCCATATACAGTCTTTTTTTTAATCACAATATACAGTCTTTTTTTTTTTATCACAAAAGAGGGATAGTTGTGACACCCATGTTGATCCCTCAGTAAATGCTTCTTTGGGCCATTGACAATTTGACAATTTGACAAATTGACATTTCATCAACCCAGGAAAAAAAGGATCAGAGTGTAACAGGGCCTAAACAATCATGGGGATGGTAATATGTTTGTTCCCTAAGACTTGAAAACTCCAGGTGTTTAGCCAAGACTTGATTTCTCTCCTAGCTCTGAAATGAACTAATTGTATGAACTCAGGCAAACTGTTTACCTTTTCTGAGCCTTTGTTTCCTCCTTTCCAAAACAAAGTGGTTGGAGCAGATGCTTCCTAAGATGCTTCCATTCTCTATTTCTGAGTGATATGATTGTTTCCTAGACCACAATTAAGGTGCTCATGGAAAGGTAAAAATGGGACCAACTTTCCCTTGACTTCATGGTGTCTGACCAAATATTTTGGGGAGGGTGGGATTTCTTCTCACAGTATGGTAAAAAGACAGCTGGATCTAAAGGTAAAAGGCTTAGGTTCAAAGCCCACCTCTCCTACTTACTACCTATGTGACCTTGGGTGAATTATTTAATTTGATCTCATTTTCCTCATCCAAAAAATGAGAGGTGTTTGTCTCAATGACCTCTACGGTCATTAATCCTTTATCTCCTACCAAGGGTACTGCACCTGAGAAATTCTAAAAGTCCTGTCCCAATTTGAGCCTTGGTGAGAAGTCAACCACTATTTGGTCCTAGACTGGTAAAAAAAAAAAAACAAAAAAAACAAAAAAAAAAAAACTTGGAATGCAAAAAAGGATTTGGACTTAGGGGAAAACTAGCTTTTCTCCTTCACCCTCTCAGCCTTCACTTCTTCCCTCCACTGGATCCAAACAGAGTTTTCAAAATTGAACAGACTAAAGACATTCAAATCCTTTTATACCACAGAAGAAGCCAAGGAATCTGGATCAGGAAGGCCATCCCTTGTGCAGATATGATGGAGTACTGCAATGATAGAGTGCAGGGGAGTCCACAGCATATCTTTTTTTTTAATGCCTTTTTTTGCCTACTAGTTTTCTAAAAGCCTAAGGCATCTGCCACTCACTGACTAATTGCTCAGTAATCTAACCAATTTCCCCTCATCAGAAGTTTACCCTATAGTTTAGTCTGCAGATTCTTTTACTTCAATTCTCAATCTTGATTAAGAAACCATGACAGATTCTATTAGCAAGGAAATGCTTTGTGCATTGAGCTCCCTGCCCATCAAGACAACATGCAGTAGGAAGTACCTCTTTAAAAAAACATCTCTGTTCCACCTTAGTCTGCTCATATGCATTCTTACATAGAAATACCTTCTGTCTCTTTTTCAGAAATGAGGACTTCTCAACCTTCAAGTCATTTGCAGCAACTTTCTCTCTACATGTACCTGAAACTCAAAATGTGTGCAATGCTAATAAGTGAGGGAAAAAAGCATAGATCTAAAAAATATTTCTCTTTCTTCTTTTCTTCCTTCCTTCTTTCTTTTGTTCCTTTCACCCCCTTTTCCTTCTCTTTCTTTCTTCCTCTTTCTTTAAAATAAGTCTTCCCTTCTTTTTCAGTGAATTGCTCAAACCTGTAATCTGGGAGACAGTTGGATAATATTCCTCTGTTCTCTAAAGAAGATGTGGGAAGTATCAGCTAAATTCTATTTCTTTCCTTTAAAAAAATTTTTAGAGTAGATCTAAAATTTAAAAATAAAAACCAGGCTCAGTTCTAAAACCATATAAAAAATTATCTCCTCACTAGCTAACTTTCATAGGTGACTGATTAGGTCATCCACAAACTCAATGGCACTGAAAAGATTCCAGTAGTGTGACCAGGCCAACTAGGAAGCCAGAGAGGAACAACTGACCCCAGAATCCCCACACACAAACTGAGCCAACAAGAATAGATCCTCTTTCTTACAAAACTTGAGTATTGGGCAGGTTTAACAGAGAACTTGGTATATACTTTTCATCCACCCACTCCCTTCCTTCACCCACTCAGTAAAAACCACTGTTTTAAGAAGAGTGAGAAAGAAAGGGAGAGGGGAGGGACAAGATGAAATCGATATAATCCAATCCATCAATATAAATAGTATTACTAAGTATTTTTCAAGAATTTCTGCAAAACTCTTTCTGAGGGAAACTTTCTGGTTCTGATGCCTGCATATTTTTCACAATGTAGAGCTGGGATTTTTTTTTAAACAAGGCACCAAGTCACCAAGAGCGGGAAGTCCTTCAGTCAGTGCACAAGAAAATGGGATTTGAGTTCTTCAAGTACATCAGATGATATCATATCGGGTCAGCAACATCGCCTGATTGTTTGTGGTGTTTGGTTCCCAAGCCTGATTGTTCCATTGTTCCCATTTTCATGATGATCCAAGGGTGGGATCTGACGACCTAGAACATAAAACAAGGTCAAGGCTGGGTTTTTGAATTTTTCTCCTACCAGTATCCCTTCACACAGATTCTTATAAAACCATCCTAATGATCCTCTAGTAACCCTAATTGAGTGTTTATCTCTTTCCTATTTACCTTCCTCTTCTCCCTTCCATCTTCAGGCCACATACTTATCCTAACACCTGCTCATTTTTATTCTTTCCCTAGCTCTTCCCACCTCCCAGCCTAGCTCATTTTAAAAAATAGTTGAAGGATTCAAATGTGCTATGATCTTTATTAGCAACTTTCAAAAGTGTTCCCAATTGCTTTTTTTAAAATAAATTGAGCAAGGTCATTCAACTCATTTTGAATCTTCCAGCATAATTCACCAGAATTCTATCTACTATGCAGAAATCCCAATGAGAGAGCAAAGTAGGTCTAAGGTGGATAAAAGAGAAAGATTGGACATGGGAAAGGTGGGAAGATAGGGGATTAGAGTCAGAGTGTTTGGAAATTCATAGCATTTCAATAACATTTATTAACACTTAGTCCACCATTACTTGAATGGCTATCAAAAGACAGAAATCATCTATCACAAAACCATACAAGAAGACTCTTCAAATTCAATTATCTTTTCATTTGAAATGAAAGTAAAATTGTTGGTGTGCTTCATGATTTGCTTTTTTTTCATGATTTGTTTTTAAAAGTAACACCTATCCTAGGACTTTTATTTGGAGTATAAAATAGTAATACGGATGAAAGAAAATTCTAGAAAAGCCAAATGTTTGCCTTTCATTTAAAGCAATGGCTCAAAGGGAGAGATTTTTATGATTTGCACTTTAGTGAATTAGTAGAAGAGAAGAAAGGCATTCCTTTAAAAAAATAAAGCCCTTCCATAGTCTGATAGATCCATAAAGATAGAAAAGACTAGCAGATTTTCACTTCCGCAAAGGGGAGGAAAAATTGATTGCGTTCCTGCCATGTTGCTGTCTTCTAACGAAAGTCATTCTTTCACCTCCCTCAGTGACTTTAGGACTAGACTCACAGTCTTCTCCACCCTGCCACCATCTTCCAAGATTGCCAAATTCATTTTAATGACCATTATCTTTCTTGATTTCCATAAGATCCATCTTACTTCAAGAAGTCACTGGGGCAACTACACCTAGACCTCTCCATCATTCAGAATAGCATCATTCCTGAGATCAAGAGTGAAAAATTTTACAGTCTGACTCTAATCCCCTATCTTCCCACATTTCCCATGTCCAATCTTTCCTTCTCCCTTATGCACCCTAGACCTACTTTGCTCTCTCATTGGGATTTCTACATAGTAGACAGAATAGGATTCTGGTGAATTATGCTGGTAGATTCAAAATGAGTTGAATGACCTTGCTCGAACAGTCATAAGATAATATATTTTGAATTAGAAGGGAGCTTAGTGGTTATCAAATCCATCCCTTATTTTATACTTCAGGAAACAGTCCTAGAGGAGGTAAAATAACTTTGCCAAGGTTACTTACCAAAGTATCCAGGTACTGTGACTCACAATCCCATGCCCTTTCTACTGCGATTAAACTTAAAAAGGCATAACTTCAATACATATGAAGTTATTACACTTGGATTCTAAAAATCAATTTACTAAGTACAATATGGGGGCCATGTTGCTATACAGCAGTTTAACTAAAGAGCTAGTTTGCACAGGAGATTCTGGGCCCAGAATCAGAAACACTAGAAATCAAATATGGCCTTAGACACTTACAAGTTGTGTGACCCTGGACAAGTCACTAAACCTCAGATTGCCTCAGTTTCCTCAACTGTAAAATAGGAATAACAATAGCACCTACTTTCCTAGGGTTGTTGTAAGGATCAAATGACATAATAATTGTAAAACATTTAGCACAGTGCCTAGCACATAATAAGTACTATAAAAATGTTAGCTATTGTTATTATCTGGAGTTTTAGTTTGGAGTTTTATTAAGGGTTTACTATGTGCCAGGTACTATACTAAATGCTGGGGATACAGAGAGAGGCAAAAAACAATCCTTGCCCTCAAGAAGTATACATTCTAATGGGAGAGATAACATGTAGATAACTAGGTAAATATATGATATACACAGAGAAGATGGAAGGTAATCTGATTAGAAAAGGCAGCTGGTGAGAACCAAGAATGGGTCTCTTATAGAAGGGAGGGACTTGAGCAGAATCTTGAAGGAAACTGGGAAAACCAAGAGGAAAAAGTGAAGGGGGCAGAACATTTCCAGCATGGGGCACATGGCTTTGCATAGAGATGGGTGATAGTATATAATGTTTAAAGAATTCCAAGTGGGCCTGTAGAGCTGAATCACAGAGTACATGGATGGGATTAAAGTATTAGAAGATTAGAAAGGTAGTAAGGGATCAGGTTATGAAGAACTTTAAACGCCAAACATTGGACTTTATAATTGATCTTGGAGGTAATAGTGAGCTGCTACAGCTCACTGGGAAGGTGGTCAGATCTATGTTTCCCAGAAAAACCTGGGAAGATCTCTCTGAATTGATGCAAAGTGAAGTGAGCAGAGCCAGGAGATCATTGTACACAGTAACAGGAATGTTGTAATTATGATTAACTTTGAAAGATTTAACTACTATGATCAGTATAATGATCCAACACAATTTCAAAGGACTGATGATGAAAAATGCTATACAACTCGAAAGAGAGAACTGGTGAACTCTGAGTGCAAATGAAAGTATAATTTTCTCACTTTTCATATTTTACTTGCCTTTTTTTGCAACATGGTTAACATGTATATATATTTTGCTTGATTTCACATATATATATTTGATACTATATTGCTTGCCTTCTCAGTAGAGGGAGGGAGAAAATTTGGAACTCAAATTAAAAAAACAGAATGTTAAAAAAGAAATAAATTTTTAAAAGAAAAAGAAAAATCACCTTGGCAGCTAAGCAGTGATGGATTGGAGTAGAGAAAGACTAGCAGCAGAGAGATCAGCTAGGACGTTATTGTAATAGTCTAGGAGAGATGTGAACTAGGGTTACAGTTTTGTGAGTAGAGAGAAGAAGACACAGATGAGAGATGTTCTGCAGGTAGAATGAGGATTTGGCAAAAGGTTAGATATGCAGGGTAAGTGAGAGTGAGAGTCAAGGATGACACTAAGGTTGCAGGTGTGGCCGATTGGGAAGATGGTGGTACCTGCTCTGGACAGTAATAGGGAAGTTCAGAAGAGGGGAGGGTTGAGAGGAAAAGATAGTGAATTCTGTTTTGGACATGTTGAATTTGAAATGTCTATGGGACACCTAGTTCAAGATATCTAAGAGTCATGTGGCAACGTAGGGCTGGAGCTCAGGAGAGAGACTAGGGCTGGGTGCATAGATCTGAAAATCATCTTCATAGAGATGAAAAATGAAACTATAGAGTTAGTGAGATCAATAAGTAAGATGTTATAGAGCAAAAAGAGAAGACCCAGAACATAGACTTGGGGGAATGCTCTTGGTTGGTAGGCATAATAAATTATCTAGATAACTAGAGAAAAGATAACTAAAGAATTAGTAAAGGAAATTGAGAAGGAACAGTTAGATAGAAAAAGAGAAGAGTTGAGCAAGGTCATGAAAACCTAGAGAGGAGAAAATGTCTAGGAGGAGAAGGTGATCAGTTGTGTCAAATGCTGCAAAAAGATCAATAAATTTGACAAATGAGAAAAGGCCATTAGTTCTGGCAATTAAAACATTATTACTAACTGCCATGAAATCTACTGTGATACTGGAGTAAGTTATGAGAGGCATAGCATCCAGAAATAAATAGGCAATAGTCCCTCTGTATTCTGTTCTCATCAGATCGTATTTGGAATTTTATGTTCTTTCTGGGCACCATAGTGTAAGAAAGAGATTGAAAAACTGAAGTGTGCAGAGGAGGACAATTAAGATTAGAAAGGGGAGAGACTAAAAGTAGGGAGAACAACTAAGAAGGTATTACAGTGGTCCAGGCAAGAGATGACAAGGGTCCAAGCTATGTTAAAGGCTATAGGAATAGAGAAAAGGGAAGACATGCCAAAGATGTTACAAAAGTAGAACTGAAAATACTTGAAAACTGAGAGAATACAGGATGAGGTGGGGAGTGTGATGAAGCAAAGAGAAGAGTCAAGGATAATGCCAAGGCCGTGACTTATATGACTGAAAGTATGGTGGTACCCTCAACAGAAATGGGGAAGTCTTGAGGAAGAAGGAATTTGAGGGGGGAAATGTGACAAATTACATATAGGGGATGTTGAGATGTCTATGGGACATCCAGGTAGATATGTCTAGTAGGCAGTTGATAATGTGAGAATGGAATTTAGGAGACAGATTAAGGCTTATGTATATAGATTTCAGAGCCTTCAGCATAGAGATTATTGAATCAATTGGAACTGATGAGGTTATTAAGGGTAAATGTGTGGGGAGAGAAGAAGGCCTCAGAAGACAGTCTTGGGGGAAACCACGTTGAGAACATTTATACAGACTAGCAAATGCAACATGATTTGAAGAAGAAGAGAGTGCTAATAACTAGGTGGAATCAGGAAAGGTTTCCCTTATTCTGATTATTGTAAGGTCTCCATACATAGTAGATCAAATTTCCTGGGTTTGATAGTTTTTCCTTATGATAAAAAGAAATACAGGAATACATCATATAAAACTGACTAGTAAAAATCACAGAATCTTGAGTTGACTGGGACCTCAGAAGCTAGCTAATTAGTCCAACCTGAATCTGAATAGGAATAGCCCCATAACAACCCTGACTTCTTCAACTGCCTTTCACACAGCTTGAACTGGATGTCCCATAGATATCTTTAACTTAATACATCCAAAACTGAACTCATTATCTTTCCCCTATACCCTATCCCCCTTCCTACCTTCCTTATTACTGCAGAAGGCATTCCCAGTCCCTCAGGCCCACAATCTGGGCGTCATCCCGTATTCCTCACTCTCTCTCATATCTAGTCTGTTACCAAGATCTGCAATTTCACCTTTGCAACATCTCTTGAATATTTCT